CGGTTGGCCAATAGGGAAGCAAGATAGGTTGGACCATGCTGGCTGGAAAGTGCTAGTTACTCAGGAGACTTTCTCTCTACTGGAGGGTGGAGGGGCAAAACAGGAATGGCAGCCAATGGCAGAAGCTTTGTTCTGCCTCTAGGTCCCTCTGGGGGATTAGAGTTGATTGTTTTTTACTTTGCCCCCAAGGAGTTATTTCTCAGCTCATGAGGATGGAGCCAGCCCAGCCTAAATCACTCCCCAAAGGCCCCACTTCTCCATACAGTCCCATTTAGAACCAAGCTTTCAGCACACGGTTTTTGGAAAGGGCATGCTAAAAGTGAGCCACTCTTGGTATCACTTTGAGCCATGAGATAATAAATAAAAAAACCTAATATAGTTAATGCAGTGTGCTGCTATTAATGGTTGGGGGCTATTAGGAGGTGGCTTTGTCAAGAGTGTGGCTAACTCACGTTTGGGACTTGTGACTTCATAAGAAAATAAAGTAGCTTAAGAGTAAAGTAAGCCAAGATCCAGGCTATAGAACCAGCCTAAAGGCCCACTAACAGATGAATAGACAAAAAAATACATGGGATGGATACACAATGGAGTAATAAAGAACAAAATAATTGCCATTTACAAAGACAAGTGAATGAAACGAGAAGTCATGTTAAGCAAAATAAGCCAGACTGAGAGAGACAGGTGTCACATGTTTTTGTTCATATATGTAGTTGGTTATTTGTTCTTTGGGGGCCCTGCCCAGCTCCCAAACACAGAGGCCTATTTTTTCTTATGAATGACTGGCTTTAGCTTGGATTTTTTTCCAAATTATCCCATCTACCTTTTGGCTCTGGGCTTTTATCTTTCTCTATTTTATAGACCTTTCTTTACTTCTTACTCTGTGCCTTGCTGTATAGCCAAGTAACTGGCCACTGATGTCCTCTCTCCTCCTTCTCCTTCTCTTGTTCCTCCATCTTCTCTTCCCAGATTTCTCCCTCTGTTTATTCTTTCTGCCTGCCAGCCCCACCTATTTCTCTCTCCTGTCTAGCTATCTATTGGCTATTCAGCTCTTTAGTAAATCAACCATGTGTTGTGAAGTAACACAACTTCACAGTTAAACAAATGCGACATAAAAGAATGCAACAATCTTTGCATCATTAAACAAATGTTCCACAGCACAAGCAAATGTAACACATCTTCAACTAATATTTCATAACACTTATCTACAATTTATATTTTAAAATTATATATACTATATTATATATATTAAAAATATTTAACATACATCTAAACCATGAAACTACAAGTGGAACTACTTAGGGGGAAGAAGGGAACCAAAGGACAGGGACATCAGCAATAGGGGAGAATTTGAGCAAAGTAGATGCTATACATCAATAACAATACCATAAAACGCCTATCATTTTGTACAATGTATATACACAATTTTTTCTGCAAAAAATTGATGCATCAGAAAATCCCCTAGCTCCCTTATGCAATAAAAGAACTTGGCAAGAAGGCAGCACCATTGGAATAGAGGGGGTACACAGTCAACATTGAATGTGCTGCTGACCTGTGTCCAGAACGGTAAGAAATCAATTTCTGGTTTTGTTTTTTTATTACTTACAGAGCTGAAGGCATTTCCTTTAAACACCTAAATAGACTAAGCCAGTATGTCTGGTAAGGTCTAGCTATTAAAATCATTTATGGTCAATGAAGTAATTTTTTTTTCTTAAAAAACATACTTTTACATTATGGCATAAACCTGTAATTTGGGAGGTTGAGGCTGGAAAATCAGGAGTTAGAGGTCAGTTTGAGCTACACACAGAGAGAGAGAGAGAGAGCAAGAGATCTTGATAGTGAGATCATGTTTAAAAATATATATGATTTAATTAACAACAAAACAAAAAGTGAATAAACAAAAATTCACATATATGGTTAAGGGCTGGGAATCTGCCTCTAACAGAGCATCTGCCTAAGGTGTAGGAGGCCATATGGGTTGTTGGACATGTGGGTTCAATTAGTAGTACCAAAAAATAATCTATTTTTTACTACAGTGATCATGAAGTTTATTTTTTTTAGTAACTTATTTTGAAATGCTATAGACTTAGAAAATTACACTAAGTAATTGCTTAACTTCTAAAATTTTGTTTCTGACTTATACATGAAAACACACATGAATTTAGATAAAGTTCTTCGTGGTTCTAGAATAAATGCTGAGATGACCAGTTATGGATATATCTAACACAGATAAAGGGTACTGAAATGATCCCAGCTCACTCAGTTAACACAGGTGTTCTAAATGTTTCTGGGAGCCACCTACAGTTTCTAGGTTATTATTGGCTCTGAGAGGTAATTCCAAAGTGCACGACTCTGAATGTTGTCTGGAAACAGACAGACAAACCAAGATAGCCTGATAAAACATGGAAATTGCTCTTGTTTACATTTTTTGGCTCATTGATGTATTTTTGAGACAAGGTCTTACTATGTAGATCCAGCTGTCCTGGAACTCAATATGTAGACGAGGCTAGTCTCCAAATCCCAGAGATCCATTTGCCTTTGCTTCTGCCTCCCAAGTGTGTGTGTGTTGCTCTTATAATAACAGTTATATAGTGTTTTCTAACTTTTGGATCAGTACCATAATCCCATCTAATACCATTGGATCTTTAGGTGTTAAACCTATCTTCAAAACTTCTTTTGACTATCTTCTCAAGTTAGAAAGGCCTAACCAACATCAGGGGACATTGTCACTGGGGTGGTGGGTTCAGTGAGTCCTAACAGATGTTTCAGGTCTGTAACAGTTCTGGTTTTAGTTACTGTTCATTTGCCCATTCAACAAATACTCACGAAGAACCTGATCCTAGAGCTAGGCTGTGTGGAAACCTACTAGGTCCCAAGTAAGAAAGTTATATTCTATATATAAAGAATGTGAAGACACTTAACATCAAATTCAATATGTAAGCTGCTTTAAGAAAAAAAGCCAGTGGAAATGGTCTGGAAGGGGATTTTGGATACTCTTTTTCTTCTTCCTGTATTTCTTTGGGAAGAATTTTCTGGCTTACTGAAGAAATAAGAGTGGTAGTCGTGTGTGTGTGTGTGTGTGTGTGTGTGTGTGTGTGTGCGCGCGCGCGCATGCGTGCAGGAGTGTAACTAACGTGAAACTGAACACAACAATAAAGAGCCTGACACCAGGATGCTTGGGGGTTCGGGGGTGGACTGGCCTCAGATAACAACATGGATTCTCAAGGACCTTCTCCTTGAGAGGCCTGGAGATGGGAAGGTGATCAAGTTATATTTCTTCTTTATCTCCAGTTATCCAGGGAGAAAACATTGAAGTGAGGGGACTTTAATGCCCCACCCCCAGCTTGGCTTTAAGTAACCTTCTGGGTAGGCCATCTCTCTGAAACTCCTCTTGCCCTTCCCAGGCAAATCTTTCTACCCAAATGCTTTACTGACAACAAACACCTGCCTAAGGATGCTTCTCCTCTGTCCTTCTGGGCTCCTTTGGTCTTCCTTATGAATTATCAGGATGAACCTCTGTGGTTTCCCAGATGCATTGCAGGTTATGGTTTCTTTTCAACTTAGGGGTTTATATTGGTTTGCTGTTTGAGGATACAGTCCATCATAGCAGGAAGGCCTGGTAGGACAGTGAGGTGGTTGTTCACAGTGAGCAGAGAGAGAAATGAATACTGATACTTGGTTTCCTGCCTCCTTTTTCTTCAGTCTGGTACCCAGCCCATGGAATGGTGCTGCCCACATTTAGGTTAAGTTTTCACATCTCAGTTAACCCAATCTAGAATCCTTTTACAGAAATGCCTAGGAGTTTGTCCTTTAGATCAGTCTAGATTGCATCAAGTTGACAATATTAGCCATTATTCCTAGGACATTTATACACTCTAAATTTTCCCTCAGGGGCCCGCTTAGGAGGTTTCAAAATGCTCTCATTTTCTTGACTTAAAAAGCCGGTGCCAAATAGGAATGAATTTTCATACCAACAAAACTCTGGACCTGGTAGAGCAAAAGCAAATTTTGCAGGGGACCTTCATAAGGTTGGGCCACACTCCATTTTTTATTGCCATGTTTAGATCAACAGATGCCATGGTCACATTTCTGAAGCACACATCAGAACATCTAAGTGTGACAAATCAACTCGGGATTGTGGGCAGATTATTTTAAAACAGGACTGGCCATAAAAGGAGATGCCGGGCAATGGCCACCCTTGTTGCAGTTCTGAGGTCTCGAGTCTTGTCTTAGCCACCAAGGCCAGATGTTTCCAATCGGTTTCTGATGGACACGAACATTGCTGGGTCTTTCGAGTTGGCCCCCACTGTTTCCATTTGAAAACCCAAACCTACATATTTCAGTAGCACTGAAAAGGCTAATTAGTACCTAGAGCTGGAAAAAATTGACTAAAAAGTTTATTAAATTTGAAGAATACATTCCCTAGCACTGTGCTGGTGCTGTGTAGGTGAGAGAAATAAAGAACTTTTGCAAAAACCTGCAGGCTCAATCGGAGGAAGTCTAATTCACCTCTCTGGAGCCTCTTGGGGCTCTGGAGTGGAGCACTTGGATGGTGTGGTGCTTGGTGCTCGGTACTCTCAGCTAGGCCAGAAATCTTCCAGTCCCCAACTCCAGAAGACCTCGACCCGCCTCGACTTTCTTTAACTATGCTAGCTGGGTGCACGATACTCATCCTAGGCTCACCGTCCACCCTCCCCTCCCGCGCTGCTCGCTCCGCGCCACGCCCCCTCGTGGCTCACTCTCGCCTCCCCCCCCCCATGGCCCGCCTACACGCGGTCCCGCCCCTCCTTACTGCCGCTTCTTCCCAGCGACCTCTACTGGCCTTCCGTGCTCACCCCACGCCCTTCCCTCCCACTCACGGCTCACATTTCCCGGAGGTTCCGCCCTCTTGTGGTCCAAACAAGCCCAGGGTCACCTCCTTTCATGGCCCCGCCCCCTCGACCCCGCCTCTCACCGGTCCCACCCCTTCGCCCCGCCCTCCTCGCGCGTGACTGATAGGGGTTTCCTGGGACGCCGCACACTCTACAGATGCTTCACTGTGCAGTGGGCTGTGGGCTGACGTCGCTCTTCCGCACTCCCGGGATTGCAGCGGTCGCCGCCATGAGCACCGGCACCTTCGTCCAGTTGGAGCCGCTCAACTACCGCGGCGGGGTCCGTGTGGAGCCGGTGGACAGCTGCGGCACGGAGAAGGCGTTCGAGCCGGCCACCGGTAACCGCGCGGGGATGGAAGCGGGTGGGGTTGCGCTCTCCCGGGGCTGGAGGCGGGTGGAGTGGGCCCTCCCCGTGGACTTTCCTTGTGCACTCAGTCTGATGCCCCGTGTCCCCCTCTCTCCACAAAGGGTTTCTGGACTTGCATGGCTGCAATGTGGGGCAGAGTGCTGCAGAGGCTCATGAAAAAGCGGGAGCAGGTGGATGCGCGGGAGGTGGGGTGGGGGTCGGGAGGTAACTGCGTGGCTGGTGCAGAGGAGTTGGGTGCAGGAGCTCTGGGTATCTTGAGTTTTCAGAACTGAGCCTGCAGGAGCGTCTTCAGCTGTATGTTAGTGAGTTTGAGGTCAACCTGAGATAAATGAAACGTCTCATGTTTACAGCAGTTCACATTGAATAGTTGATAGAGCACACCTAAGCCCCATGGGGTTAAGTGAGAAGTCCAGGGTTCCAGGGTCTTCAGACTTCCTGTTCTGCTGAATTGTCTCCTCATTTCCATATTATTTTGTCTAAGTTACCCAGTAGCACTTAGGTTTCCTTTTGTTTGTTTTTAAATGTTATTTATTTTTGAAATTGGGTCTTGTTATGTAGCCTTGGCTTGCTTGCCTGGAACTTGCTGTATAGACCAGGCTGGCCTTGAACTCACAGAGACCCACCTGTCTGTGCTTCTCCAGTGCTGGGAGTAGGTATGCAGCCTTATTGGACTCTAAAGGGATTCCTGGTCTCAAAAAAGCTAAGAACTAAATGAGACCATGGTCAAAAGGAATCTCCCAGAGAATGCTAGAAACAATTCAAATGTGTTGCAGGTGCTTGAGATAAAACTGACTCTCTGCTTCTTCATAGGCCGAGTGATAGCTACATTACGGTGTTCAGGAGAGAGGGAAGTAAGTTTGGCTGTTAAAAATGCAAAGGCTGCCTTTAAAGTCTGGAGTAAGAAATCTGGCATGGAGCGCTGCGAAGTCCTTTTAGAGGCTGCCCGGATGATAAAGGTGTGTACCAATAATATTCTTCTCGAGAAACTACTCTTCTAATGCTCCAAAGGCAGTTGCGGTTAATTGATGCAGCTTTAGGTTGTGATATTTCTGTGAAATGGAGGCACTCCCACATGCTCACCTTGGTATGTGAAACAAGTACCCACTGAGTGCTCCATGAGACCGTGGCTCTTGGACAGCTTCCTGGGCATGCTTTTTATTTCTTCTGAATTTGTTTTGAATTGTAATGTGCTCTTGATAGCTTACTTCCTTTTGATTTAAATTACTCTTATTTAGAGGTATATTTATTTGTGCAGTGTGGGTACTCCTTTTGATTTAAATTACTCTTATTTAGAGGTATATTTATTTGTGCAGTGTGGGTATATGTACAGTCGTGTGAAGAGTTTTGAGATAGTGTCTGTCAATGAACCTAGGGTCCATCAACTTGGCTAGACTGGCTCGTCAGTGAGCTCCAGGGATTTGTCTGCTGTGCCTCCCTAGTTCTGGTGATGTGGCTCTGGTGCTGGGACATTTGGCTTTTATGTGGGAGCTGGGGATTAGAACTCAGGTCCTCATGCTTGCACAACAGGCACTTTACTGACTCAGCCATCTCATCAGCCATGGTGGTTGCTTGTTATTTTTCCTTCTGATGATATTTAAGCTTATCTTTCAGGTTTGTTTTCTACCTTAATTGCCTGGGAAGGTTTCAGATTCATAGGTATCCTTCTTTTAGAAAAAAGGTTATTGGAAACTTGGAAAATTCAGAGTGATATACATCAGAACATGGACTGTGTCTTTGGTGGGAATGTAGGGTTTCTTTTTCTTATCGTAAACTTGCTGTGAGAAACCTGGAAGGGTCTGAGAATTAACCTGCTTGCGTGTGTGTGTGTGTGTGTGTGTGTGTGTGTGTGTGTGTGTGTGTGTGTGTGTGTGTGCATGCACATGGCCATACGTGTGTATCCAAATATCTTTATACACATACAGCAATGTTTCAGTGCACACATGTATTCTGATAGAACACACGAGGCTGTGGAGACCAGAGAAAAAGGCTCATTACAACAAAATGTGACAGCCTGAGGTGCAGGGGTTGGTACCACAGGGGATTTGTGTACCTGAATGCTTTGTGTGTCTCCTCATCTTCTGGGGAGGTATTGGGATTAATTGCTCATCAAGCAAGTCTCTGGGACTCAGAGAGAAGGGTCACTACAGTTATTACCCTGGATGATAAATAAATGACTCTAGGAGCAAGAAATCTTAGCTCCAAAGGTCTCTCTCTAGGGGCCATTCAGTCTCTGTCTTCCGTGGCCTTTGCTCCTCAGCGTGTTCTTTGCTCAGATAGCTGGGCCAGGCAGAAAAGTCTGAGTATATGCTCAGATGTTTCAATTATCCATACTCATTTAATAGTTCTTAATTTTTTTTTTTTTTTTTTTTTTTTTTTTGGCCAGGCAGTGGCACTTAGAAGGCAGAGGCAGGTGGATCTCTGAGTTTGAGGCCAGCCTGGTCTACAGTGTTCCAGGACAGCCAGGAACACACAGAGAAACCCTGTCTTAGTAATACAAAACAAACAAAACAAAAAGACCATTTTCATTTTCTAACTTATACCTAAGTGAGGTTGTGGTTTTAATCATTGTCACCTGATGAACTTGAAAGGAAGAGGAGAGTCACTCTGTGACAGCAGGTTTATCTTCCAGGGCAGCACCAATTATTCTGTCGAGTTTCCTTGCAAGTGTGCCAGCCTTTTCTAGGTGTAGAACTTAAGTGACATATTCTTTTTAAGCACTGGGTGTGTTGAGACATCCTAATAATGTACTAAATCTCTTCTCTTTTACCCACAGGAGCAGAAGAATGCAATTGCCACCATTGAGACAATCAACAATGGAAAGTCCATATTTGAGGCCCGCCTGGATGTTGACACTTCCTGGCAGTGCCTGGAATACTATGCAGGACTGGCTGCATCCATGGCAGGTGAGCTGTGGCCTGGCCTCAGGTGACCTATTGATTAGAGGGTAGAGGAGTAGAGCCTGGTGGTGAAGGTCAAAATCTTAGGTTCATTGTTACCTACTTAGTTGGCTTAAGTTACTTCATCATTCCATAGCTAAGGTAGAGATGATAACACCTAATAATACCTAATTTCCTGGGTTGTTTAAAGGACTCTGAGAGAGTACATGAAAAGTACCCAGCATTGAACCTCAGCTTTTGACCAAATGGTTTGAAACACTAGTTTGTAAGAGTCCTTATCAAACTTACTATTGCTATCCAGTTCATGGCTGGGCCAGGAATGTAGCTAAGTTGGTGGAGTGTTTGCTTAGTGTGCCTGGAGCCCTGGGTCCAATTCCAAATATTGCATACTCTTGAGTGTGGTGATGCCCACTTATAATCCCAGCCCTGAGGAGGTAGACACAGGAGGGCCAGAAGGTTAAGGACATCCTCAGCTACATAGTGAGCTTGAGGACAGCCTGAGATAAATGAATTCTATTTCAAACAGATGTTTACAGCAGTTCATATTGAATGGTTGGTAGAGCCCAACTGAGCCACATGGGATAAGTGAGCAGTCCAGAGTTTCAGACTTTCTCTATTGCCGAGTTGTCCCCTTATTTCCATATTAATTTATCTAAGTTACCTAGTAGCACTCAGGAGATTTTGTTTTGTTTGCTTTTAAATGTTATTTATTTTTGAAACAGGGTCTTGTTACATAGCCTTGGCTTGCTTGCATGGAGTTTGTTATATAGACCAGGCTGGCTTTAACTCAGAGCTGGGATTAAAGGCTTACACTACCATACTTGGCTTGCTTTTATTTTTTTAAATTATATGTGTATGGGTGTTTTGCCTGCGTCGTACGTCATGTACTACTTCCAAATCTGGTATCTGCAGAAGCCAAATGAGTGTGTAGGATTCCCCGGAACTGAAATTAACAAATGGTTGTGAGCTACCATGCCGGTGCTGAGAACTGAACCTGGGTCCTTTGGCAGAGCAACCAGTGTTCTTCACTGCTGGCCAATTTCTCCAGCCCCTGCAGGGGGTTCTGTGAGAGACTTAAATGAACTCGGATGAATGTGCCAGCGAAATGGTGGGGAACATAGACTTGCAATATTTCTTATTCTGTTTTACCCCTAGGAGAGCATGTCCAACTCCCAGGAGGGTCCTTTGGCTACACCAGAAGAGAGCCACTTGGGGTGTGTGTGGGGATAGGAGCATGGAACTACCCTTTCCAGATTGCCTGTTGGAAGTCTGCTCCTGCTTTGGCATGTGGTAAGCATAAGTTACTGCTCCACAGTGAGCCTTCCCTCCCACTCACCCCTCCTCAGTCAGAAAGACCTGCCTTGGGGCAGTCAAATCTCAGAGAGGATGTGGGTCTGTTCCTGTTTTGCCTTGCCCCTGAAGGAATTTCAAGTTTAGGTTGCACACATAGGTTATGTCTTGGTGTTTCTATTTTGCATCTATCCGGTTTATTTCTGATGTAGGAACTAGCTGTGTCATCTAGACTATCCTTTTGATTCAGCCCTCTAGTGTTGGAACTAAGGGAAATGAAAGCTCCTGGTCTTTGGTTTAACTTTTAGAATGAGACTGATGGTGAAGTTGAAAGCTTTAAATGGGATAGTCCATGTGTAAAGACCATGATACAGAGAACCCAAGGTGGGAAAACAAGATATGTCCTTTTTAAAAAAAAAAAGCTAATTTTAGATTTTTTTTTTTTTTTTTTATGTATGAGTGTTTTGCATGCATGTATATAGTGGTCCATGAGGACCACTAGTACCTGCGGAGGCCAGAAGAAGGAGCTAGATTCCCTGGTTCTAAGTTATCCTTTGTCTAAGCACTGGAAGCTGAACCCAGATCCTCTTCCTGACCAGAAAGTGGTCTTAACCACTGAGTCATTGCTTCAGTCCCAGACATTTCTATAATTAACATCCTTTGGTGAATTTGGAAAAACAGGAACCAGGTGAGATTGTGTAGTCTTGTTTAAGAAGAGCATTTGCTTTTCTGCAGGTAATGCCATGATCTTTAAGCCTTCTCCCTTCACACCTGTGTCTGCTTTGCTCCTGGCTGAGATCTACACCAAAGCTGGCATGCCTCCTGGGCTCTTCAATGTGGTGCAGGGTGGGGCTGCTACAGGCCAGTTTCTGTGTCAGCATCCTGATGTGGCCAAAGTCTCCTTTACTGGAAGTGTGCCTACTGGCATGAAGGTACAGATGAAACTATTTTTTTTTGTTCAATACAACAAATGGCTAAGTCTGGCAAAGCCGATCCTGTCTGCTGTGTATTTTGCTGAGTTTGGATTTCCTAGTTTATGTTGGGAATGGGCCAGGAAATTCTACTTTTCATGTGCACATGAGAAGGGAAAGAGAGCATGTGTGTGTGGGTGGTCTGTGGTAGGCCAGGTGGGGTAGAAATTCTCCACCTGCCTCAGGAGAGAATATGTGTGCAGGATTGGGGTCTGGGCTGTGCTGTTCTGTTGTTTGGTGAGTTAACTATGGTTACTTCAGGATTTGCTACTCTTGACATGAATTTCTGTTCCAAGTTCTAAAGAGCCCTAAATGTAAAAACACAAAGAGAATTCCTGGCTTCGAGAATCCTGGGAACTGTCAATATATCCGAAATGAACTCCTGTTTCAGGGTGTGAAGTGAAGTTCGTAAATTCTCAGGAGTTTTTGCCAAAGAGCTTTCTAAGAGGATGAAGGGCCCAGAGTACATGAGAACAGGCTCTGGGCTCTGTCAGACCAACATGACCTGGTGGGTTCAGGTTGAGTTGACCTAACTTACGCTAAACTTCCGGGTGCCTTGTTTGGGTCTGTAGATCATGGAGATGTCAGCTAAAGGAATCAAACCTGTCACTTTGGAGCTTGGAGGCAAATCTCCTCTTATCATCTTCTCAGACTGTGACCTAAAGAATGCTGTGAAGGGGGCGTTGTTGGCCAACTTCCTCTCACAAGGCCAGGTAAGAACTCTTCCTGGGAGGGAGAGGAAGGAAGGCCTTCCTCTCCTCCTAACAGCATGGTGACACCAGACACACTAAGAATTACAGGATAGTTGTGAACAAACAGAAGACTTTCTGTGGAGTGGCCCTTAACTTCCCTAATACTGCTGCCCTTCTATGCAGTTCCTCCTGTTGTGGTAACCCCCAACCATAAGATTATTTTTGTCATTACTTCACAACTGTAATTTTTGCTGCTGTTCTGAATGAGGCTTGCCAAAGGGGTTGTGGCCCACAGATTGAGAACCACTGTAGAAACTTACCTGTTTGTCATTCTCTAAATCTGTTTATATACACAATACAAAAGTAATACGTTTTCCTGAACTATCAGAGGAAGTTATAGACACAAGGTCCCTAACTGTCAAATACTGCAGTGTAGCCAAAAACCATGTTCTTTTACATAAGTACAGTGTGATTAGTCAGAGAAAACGACTTTCTTTTTCTGGGATAAAATCCAGCTGAAGGGACTAAGGCTGTAGTATGGTGGTAAAGCACTTTCATAATACCACAAAAACACAAGAATCCAGTGAATTGAGATGACGAAACATTAGGTTTCATATTTTGTTTTGTTTGCCCCCCCCCCATGGTTACTTCTTTTTTTAAAAAATTCTTTAGACATATTTTGAGTGTGAATCTTTTGCCTGAGTATGTGAATGTTCATTCCAGGTGTTCTTGGTGCCTCTGGAGGCCAGAAGAGAGGGTGTTTGGTCCCCCTGAAACTGGAGTTAATGGATGGTTGTGAGCCATTGTGTGGGTGCTGGGAACTGAACCTCCAAGAGCAACAAGTGAAGCCAGTGTGGTAGTGGTGGTGGTGGTGGTGATGGTGATACAGTGCCATCAGTACTTGGGAGGCAGAGGCAGGCAGATTTCTGAGTTCAAGGCCAGCCTGCTCTACAACCAGGGCTACACAGAGCTATCCCATCTCCAAAAACAAAAAAAGGAAACAAGTAAGCTATCTCTCCAGCCTTAGTTATTATTTCTCTAAACTATACACAGTATGTGGTACAAGGTGGTAATCCGATACATGTGTCATGATAAGTGATGGGTACTCGATCTGAAATAATTGGAGCAATTAGCATTGTTTATGATTTCACGAGACTCTGTGTTGCTCAGGCTGTCCTTGAATTCCCAGCTTTCCAAGTCTGGGGTCACAGACATGAGCCATCACACCTGGTTTTAACTCTTTGACCCCAGTAACTTCTTTGATTTCTGACACATTGAGGCATTTTAGACCCATCTTATTATTTTTTCCACCTGAACTTTGGAATTGGCCACTTGTCTAGGCAGGCCTGGTTTCAGTGAGTGGTAAGTGAAACCTAGAAACTAAGCTCTTGGTCTGGGGATGTAGTTCAGTGATAGACTGCTTACTTCATTTTTGTGATCCTGAGTCTAACCTCCAGTACTGCCAAGGGAAAAAAACCACCAAGACCTCAGTCAGTGCCAGGCTCTTCATTGCTACTGTGGTATCTATATTGTGTGTAATTCTGAGGCCAGGGCTAGAGAATGCATGTCTGTATGTATATGAGACATAGTTGCACATACTTTGTTTTGTGTTTTTCTTGTTTTGTTATTATTATTAATTTTAAGGCAGGGTTTCTTTGTGTAGCCCTGGCTGTCCTAGAACTCACTGTATAGACCAGGCTGGCCTTAAGTCAGAGATCCCTCTGTTTCTACCTCTCAAGTGCTGGGATTAATCCCACCATTACCCATCTTTTTTTTTTTTTTTTTTTTTTTTTTGTACAGGCTGAATGCTACACTCAGAAGTTAACTTAGATCTATTCTATTGTCCCCTGCTTTTACTTTGGTTACGGTGTTCAGTTAGAATAGTGGGTCCTTTGGATTCTGTTTTTATTTCATTTGAGGTGTCTTTTCCTCTGTCCTTTAAAGATTTTTTAAAATTTGGTTTGATCAGGCAAAAGATGAACATAGTTCCTAATGTCAGGATTTTTTTTTTTTAAAGAGCCTCACTCAGAACTGAGAACTGTAACTCCTCATTTTTCTACCTGTTACCATCCCTACTTTTCCCATTCTGCTCCTTGAACAAAATGACCAGATATTTGTATATTTCTATTTTCACTACTTTCTTTCACAAATGGTATCGGGTTAGATGTACCATTTTTTGCCAGCCTTTAGTGGCGCATGACTTTAATCCCAGGTCTTGGGAGGCAGAGGCAGGTGGATCTCTGTGAGTTTGAGACCAGCCTGTTCTACAGAGCCAGTGCCAGGACAGCCTCCAAAGCCACAGAGAAACCCTGTCTCGAAAATCAAAACAAAACAAAAAGTACCATTTTTTACTTAATATATCCTGGGAATCATGTCATTTAACTTCATAGGGATCATCTGTTTCTGGGACTTCACTCTCTGTTCTATTCTATTGCATGTGTGTGGTATTTGACCAGTATTCATGTTCATTTGTGCAAGAATGAATAAGTAGTGATTATGTACAGTTTCAGAGATAACACTAAAATGTTCAAGACTATACTCTTAACCCCATTTTATTTTATGTCCCCTCTTACCTCCTACAGAAACAACCAGAATGAGCAGCTGGTACTATTGGGGGAGGGTGAGAGCGGGCTCTGATCCTGTGGCCATTAATGGTCTTAAGACAGTTTAAGCCGAGTAAGACTTAACCTTTCTGTTAGAGGGCAGATCATGTCCACAATCACATGTGATCCTTCCCAATTACTATGGACAGGTTTTAGAAAAGAAAATATTTTTCAAAAAATGTGTTGTGGAGCTGGAGAGATGATTCAGCAGTCAAGAGCATTGGTTGCTCTAGCAGAGCACCTGGGTTCGATTCCTAGTACCCACATGGTGGCTCACAATCATCTGTGACTCCAGGTCCAGGAAATCCAGTGCCCTCTTATGGCTTCCACAGGTACCAGGCACACACACCGCACACAGACAGACATCCGGGTGAAACATTAGTATGCATAAAATAAAGCATTAAAAAAATGGGTCATGAGTCATTTAAAGTGTTTTTAGATATGCACAAATTTATGTCTTTCCTTTAGGTTTGCTGTAATGGCACCAGAGTGTTTGTGCAAAAGGAAATTATTGATAAATTTACGGAAGAAGTTGTGAAACAGACTGAAAAGATAAAGATCGGAGACCCCCTTCTAGAAGACACTAGGATGGGGCCACTCATCAATAGTCCGCATCTGGAACGGGTCTCTGGGTTTATAAAGTTAGCAAAGGAGCAGGTGAGGCATGAGTGGAAGCTGGGGCAGGGGTTATGTCAGGCTGCTTTCCCCATGTCCTTTCCCACATGGACATCGGTGGTTACCGTCCATCAGTGTGCTGCTTTTTGGGAGGGTAAATGCTGTGTGTATCTGCTCAGGCTGCCTTTTGCCTTGTGAGAACACATACGGAGTTCAAATCTGTATTGTGTGTTCAATACAGAAAATGCCTGTCTTTTGTTTTTCACTTAGGGTGCTACTGTGCTGTATGGTGGAGATGTGTATGTTCCGACGGATCCTAAATTAAAATTTGGATATTACATGACACCTTGCATTTTAAGTATGTCTTCTTGTTTGCTTTTAAATGACTTGAATTAAATAGTAGATAGATAACAATGGATATTTATGAACTGTGTAATGCCATAGAGAAAGGGTTGGCAAATTGAATGGTTCCACTACCCAGGTACCCAGGTTTAAGAAGTAGAGCTACTTCATTACTTTTGAAACCCTCTAGGTACCCTTCTGCTAGGGCAACCATGTGTGTTGGTTTATGGTTAAGTACCAACATATGTAGTGGAGACACTTATTCTTGGAACACACTTTAAAAACAAAACACCTCCCAAATATGTTTGATTTGAAAAAAAAAAAAAGTAATGAACTCCTTAGTAATGTAAAATGTAAAGCATACTTTTCCTTTGAACTACAACATATCGTTGTAACAAAACCAATTTGTCAGATGTAATTTTATTAAGTTTTGGTACATCTTTTCACTCTTAAAACTCTGCTTTGGACAGTCAGGTATACATGTACCCTTATTGTAAACACTACTTTTCTGTTTTCTTTTTGAGGCAAGTTCTCACTGTGTGACTCTGTCTGGCCTGGAACTCTGTGTAGACCAGTCTGGCCTTGAACTTAACAGAGATCTGACTGTCTCTGCCTCCTGAGTGCTGGGATTAAAGGCGAGCACCCCCACCTCCTGGCTCTTAATTTAAGAATGAAGGACTGATTATATTTAGACAGGCACACTGCTGCCTTTTATACCCATTCCCTTTAGCTCTCCAGGGTAAAACTCATGGCCTACAGAGCCATTTGTGTAAGCAACCTTTGTAAACTGATAAAATACTTTCAGAGATGATTGGTAATTCATTGTTTTGAGTAACTAAATAAAACTTATATGTGGATTACTGGTTTTCAAAGACTTAGAACGCATCCAGCTATCTGAGAATACAATCTAACATATCCTTGAAGTACAGGTGTCTTTGTGCACTGATACAGTGTACTGTGTATAGAGCAGCATCTAACCTACCTCTGAAGAGATTCTTTTTTTAAGTTTATTATTCTTTCATATAATATATACCAAGTGTACCCTCCTCTCCCTCCACTCCCCCAATTCTGAAGAGATTTTAAAACTGTCATCTTTGTAAATCTTTTTTTTTTTTTTTTTTTTTTTTTTTGGTAGACTGTGTCTTTTAGATTCTGGCTATAATGAGCCAGAGTGTCTAAGAGTACTTCAAAGCACGTCATTTATCCATGCAGCTTCCTCAAAACTGTTTCTGTGAGCATTGCTGAAATCATGCAGGCTCATGTTCCCTCCCCCCTTTGGAGGCTCACTGAGGATCAGTACAGGTGTTTCCCTGAGTTCTAAGTACAAAATTTAAATGGCAAATGTGAATTAAATGGTTTTAGGGAGTTAGTCATTTATAGGAATATTTAAGTGCATTTTTTTATCAAAGCAAATATACCTTCATATTATATATATATATATATTTATATATATATATATATTAATATATATATATATATATATATATATATATATATAGCATTTTAACAGAAATGTTGATGTATTTTTGGATCATTTTCGGTGACCTTTTTATGAACATCTACTTAATGTTTTCTTCAAAGACTTTTTTTTTAAGAAGCCTTCTAAGAGTTCATCGTTAGGGTGTGTCTAGTTTGAGAATATTCCCTCCTCCTTGGGCATTTGGTTTGTTGCTCCCTCTTTCATCATTCTAACTAATGCTATCGTGAAGATTTTTTTAAGTAAATCTGTTTACCTCACTGGGTACTTCCTTAGGAACTCTAAAAAGTCATTTTAGAATTGCACAGAGGATGACGCTCTTTTAATATGTATTACCAAATTGCCATGCAAAAGGAAGGTCTAATTGTTATTGATGGTAGCTGTATTCTCTTGAAATGTTGTTCCTCTAAAGCTACATGTTTCATTGTTTACTACAGACAATGTGTTTTGGATATATGAGAGTATACTCCCCTCTCTGTCTCTGGTTTCATTATGAATGTTGGTAGCTAATTGCAGAGATGACATGACCTGTGTGAAAGAAGAGATCTTTGGACCAGTTATGTCCATTTTATCGTTTGAAACTGAAGCTGAGGTTCTGGCACGGGCCAATGATACCAGTTTTGGACTAGCAGCTGGTGTCTTTACCAGGTATGTAGATCAGGATACCCACAAGCATCTTGGAAGGGAAGGATTATGGTGGTATCTTGGATATGTAATCTTTTTTTTTCTTATTCCTCCTTACTTTGCCGTCATTAGAGCCATCAGCATCTGTTTTTGTTTCATGATGTTGAAGATCTCACTGAGCTACACCCCAGCTCTGTTTGGTGCTTCTTCGTTCGGAAGATGCCAAAGCTGAATTTTATAGTTTTCATTAATGATCAGAGGACTCTATATATGGCTTTGGAGTTTAAAATGGACTCTATATGGCTTTGGAGTTTAAAATGAACTCTAAACTTTATTAATGAAAGTTCTGGCTTCATTCTTTCATTGAATATTTAAGATTCTGATCTTTGCAAAGCTTTGGACAAGGTACTGAAAAGATTCACATCACGGAATTTAGAAGACTTAACTGTATTAATACTGGACATTGATCTTCAAATATGTCATTTTTGGTGCAGTGTAGTAGTTCCTGGCTGGTGTGCATTCTAACTCACATAGACTTTGTGTGTTGCATATTTATGTTTCTTCAATTTTAAATATTGTGGTACCATTATTAATAATCCTTGTTCATAAGTGTTAACTACTATAATAGAGGTAAAAATGATTTTGATGTAAAGCTTCTTGCAAAATAATCTGGATAGTGGTACAAGCCTAGAACTCCAGCAAACAGGGCCGAGGCGGGTGGACCTTATATTTGAGACCAGCCTGGGCTACATAGTAAGACAACACAAAAGGGAAAAAGGTCTGCAAGTCTCCAGGTCATATGCAAACTCTGAGTAGTCACTGGTGTTAGGAAGGTGGTTTTCTAAGGTTTCACTGAGAGGGCAGAGTATTTGCTGATTACTAAGGTCAAATGCTGTGCCTTGTGGTCAGACACCTGGAAAAGAAGGCTTGAGTTTGCTTTCCATGGAGGTGCTCTGAAGCTGGCCTTCATGTGATTGCTTCCCTTTGGGCCCTGGAAAGAATACTGGGACTCTGCTTTCTACTTTGGAGACTGAGTGCTGAGTGGGCTAAGTGCTCTCTCTCTCTCTCTCTCTCTCTCTCTCTCTCTCTCTCTCTCTCTCTCTCTCTCTCTGTGTGTGTGTGTGTGTGTGTGTGTGTGTGTTGGGGTACTAAAGATTAAACCTAGGGCCTTGAAATATTAAACATGTATCCTATACTGAACTGTATATCTCCAGCATCACCTGTCCTTTTTTTCACTTTTTATTTTGAGTTAGGTGCTCTACATTGCCAGATGTACATGGCCATGACATAGTTCTGTAGCCCAAGTAGGCCTTGAACTGACTCAGAGTTGTTGTCTGGCCTCCACACATGTGCTTCGTTTACACACAACATAAAAGGCTCTAATTCCTGCATATCTGTATCCGCCCTTATTAGCATGTTTCTTTCAGCTGTCTTCCTGGGTGTGAGGTCATATTCCATTGTGGTTTTGGTTTTCCTTTTTGTGGGTTTTCCTTTTGCTTTTGTATGTTAATTTGAGTGCTATACTTAAGGAGGCTTTGTCTAATCTGGTATCAGGGAGATATATCTCTGTATTTCTAATCGTTTTATAGTTCTCAGGTCTGTGTTCTGTGTGAGCATGTATGTGTATGGTGTAAGGAGCTCCATCTTTATCATCTTATATGAGGTGCTAGAATTGTTCCCGCACCATTGAATAGTGGCACCCTGCTTGCTTAATAGATTTTTTTTTTTTTTTTTTTTTTTTCTGAGACAGGGTTTCTCTGTGTAACAACAGCCCTGGCTGTCCTAGAACTAGCTCCATAGACTAGGCTGGCCTCGAACTCACAGAGATCCACCTGCCTCTGCCTCTAGAATGCTGGGATTAAAGGCGAGTGCTACCACTGCTTGTCATTTTATAGATTTTTTTTTTTTTTTTTTTTTTTTAAAAATCTGGTATCTTCTTTGCCTGTTTAATGGGTTTTAAACAGTTTGAAGAAACAACAGTTGGGCAGGATTTCAGGTCCTTCGAGTTTATACTTTGATGTTTCCTGTGAAGTTAGCTTGAACTGTGAATAACTAGTACTGTCTTCTTCCTCCCAGTGACATCCAGCGGGCTCACAGGGTGGCAGCTGAGCTTCAGGTAGGAACGTGCTACATTAACAACTACAATGTCAGTCCAGTGGAGTTGCCTTTTGGTGGATATAAGAAGTCAGGTAAGGAGGAGGGAAATGTACAAACCAACCATCCTAGCCAGTACTGCTACAGCAGTGTTTCTCAGCCTGTGAGTAGCATAGCCTCAGCAAATACAGACTCAGTCCTCCCCAGTCTACTGGAGTGCAGGCCAGGCATCTCCAGGAAGTTCTACTGTGTGTCATGGCTTGTGAATGGCTGATCTACATCTCAAGTATGTCTTGTGGGTCGAATTACTTTTTCTTTAATGTTGGATTGATTGCTCTGAGCATTAAATACTTCTTCTCGGGTTCCACATCAGGACTATCCATCAGTAGGGCTTAGGTGCTTCTAAAGTCATACCCCAGAAAGCTTAGATTAGTGGGTTTTCTCTTTGGGGCCCGTGTTTATAAACATGGTCTCATGTATCCAGGGTTAGCCTTGAGCTTGGTGTGTAGTGGAGCAGAGATTCTTCTGCCTCGTTGTCTGTGGGAAGTACCGGGACTACAGGCAGGTGTTGCTACACGCAGGCTATGTGGTGTTGGGGATTGAACCCAGGGCTTTGTGCTTGGTAGACAAGCACTCTACCCACTGAGCTATAGTGCCTGCCTTTGTGTTTCCTTAAAAACATTGAAGTGGAGCAGTGGGGGTGCACACCTGTAATCCTAGGGCTAGGGAGGCAGAGGCAGTTGGATCTGAGTTCAAGGCTATAGAGAAACCCTGTTTTGAAAAACCAATTAAAAAAAAAAAAAAGAAAAGAAAAAGAAAAAAAAGAGGACTGCACTTTTCCCCAGATGTTCACCCAAAGTGGCAGTCACCTGAAGTTCGGACTCATTCTGGTAAGAAATGAGGCTGTGTACTTCCCTGTCCTAAAACTTGGGGCCCCAGCAGAAGTAGCTGGTTTGAGGGTGAGCTTCCCCACCCTGACCAGCATAGCCTGCCTTGGAAAGGGTGTGTGACTTCAGACCTCTGTAGTGACCAGTTTACCCTGACACCATCTCTTTTTTTTAGGATTTGGCAGAGAGAATGGCCGAGTGACAATTGAGTACTACACACAGCTAAAGACGGTGTATGTGGAGATGGGTGACGTGGAATCGCCTTTCGAAAGCTAGTGAAGCCTGTCTGCAGGGCCAGGCTGTGGAATGAACTGGCTGCCTTGACAGCAGTATGACTGATTAGCTGCTTACATCCATGCTTTGGGTCACTCAGGATGAGGGAATGGGTCAGTATTGTCTTCCATCTTGCAGTCCCCCTTCTCAGCTGAAAATGTGCACAAGTGCCTTCCAGACACAGTAGCCAGGGAACTTGTTCTTCCTGAAAGTCCCCATGATCTTTACACAAACCCCAGCAAGACACTATTCAAAACAGCCAGGCCACAGCTCTGCTCGAACACATCTGTCCCACCAACAATGGCAACTTGCTCTAAAGATGCCTTCTTGGGTTCCCGATGAATCAGTAGACATATTTTCTTTGTTCATTGACCGATAAAAATTTCTTAAAGTTCGTTTTCCCCTGAGACAGAAAAGTGTGTGGGATTTTTGTTTGTTTTTTTCAAGACAGGGTTTCTCTGTAGCTTTGGAGCCTGTCCTGGAACTAGCTAGCCTGTCCTAGACCAGGCTAGCCTCAAACTCAGATCTGCCTTCCTCTGCCTCCCAAGTGCTTGGATTAAAGGCGTGTACCACCAATGCCTGGTCAGAAAAGTGTTAATACTTTTGGAAAAAGTCATTCATTCGTATTTAAACTTGTTTTTAGCTAGCAAGACCGCTCAGTGGGTAAGGTCTTACCACAGAAGCCCAATGACCTTGGTTCTGTCCCCAGGTCCCACATAAAGGGTGGTGTGCCCTTCCCCGTATCTCATACTTGCACCATAATAAAACCTTTTGCAAAAGCTGAGTTCTCTTGTCATTTCATTGAGAAATCTGACAACCTGGCTAGAGAAGACAGTTGATGCCTCAGCAAACACTTATCCCTGGTCCTTGCACTGCAAGCTTGCTGTCCTACAACCGAAGAGAATTGTTAGAATACATGAATTACTTGTATGCTACTATGACAGTGAATTGAAATCAATCACACTGTTAGTCTTTTTGCTGTCTTAATTTGTGTCTCACCACGTCTCAAAGGCTGGAAAGGACAGAGGAGAAAGCACAGTTGAAGCATGAAGTTTAATCCTCACCCATCCTCTCTGGGTGAGTAATAGTGAAGGTGGCATTGAAAGATAAGGAATGATTGTCATTACTGGGTCTTGATCCTCTTGTTCCTGCATGGGTGAGTTAGGCAGTTAGCACTGGGATGATTAAATCAGCCCTTCTTGGTGTTATTTGCCCTGAAATATTTATGAATCCATCCTTGTTTTTCTCTTACACAAAGACCTATTTGTCTTTTCAAGGTTGGGTTGGGGGGGGGGGTGAGGTTGCCAAAAGAAAAAAGTAATTAGACAATGCTATGAAGGATGATCCCAGGGCTTTTCATGGTCACTAAGATTACAATGTGCTCTCACTTAGGCCCTTGTAGTTTCCAGCTGCAGTTAAGATAAGGCCTATGAGCCTCATCCCCACCATCCACAATATCTGGATGTCATCTTCTGTACTTTCCTCTTATTTCTGTAAGGCTGTTCCCTCTTTAGACCATGTTTTTCAGAAATTCACCTTACAGGCTCCTTAGAATTCCAAACTAGTCAGGTGGTGGTGACTCACACTTTTCATCTCAGCACTCGGGAGGCAGAAGCAGGCGAGTTACTTTCTGAGTTCTAGGCCAGCCTGGGCTACAGAATAAGTTTCAGGGTGGTCAGGACTACAGAAACCCTGTCTCAAAAGACAAACCAAAACCAAACCCACAAACTAAAAATGTGTTTCAAGGTAATGTAACTAGCACACATGTTCTCTTATAACCCTGCTTTACTCCATTGTTACTTGAAACTGTTTTATCTGCTAACCTTAACTAGAATGCAAACTGAAAGCAAGAACTGCCCGGTCATCTGGCACACATGGGCTGCTCAGTGTGGCCCAGGGAGCCACAGCATCTGCTTGTTAAGAGTTGCAGACCCAACCCACCTCAGACCTGTCAATCAGACCTGCATTTTAGTAAGATTCTCAGCTAAGTCGTGTGCATTATAGCTTGCCAGGCAGTGCTTTGAGAGACTGGCTCTCAAGTTTGGCTCTTCATTAGCGTTGCCTATTGAGCATTTACAATCCCAAGGTGCTAATATAATTGATCTGGGCATCTGGAATCAGAAAAGGTTTCCAGGTGGATTCAGTAGGCAGCTGGAGTTGAGAACTGCTCTGAGTTCTATGTACGGTAGCTGCTAGCGTGTAACCACTTAAGCTTAATTAAAATGAAACAAAAAGCATGTGAGTTGCTCTAGCCACATTTTAAGTTCTCAGAAGCCAAACACAGGCGTTAGTTAATTGGACAGTCGAGAGTATGTTTTTCATGTCAGAAAGCGATCAAAAGTGTTGAAGAGGGATGTAGCAGAGAGACTGCTTATGATTTGCGTAAGTGGATGTCGGTGGAGGTCAGGAGACCTACCTCCCAGGGGTTTTCTCCTACCATGTGGATTAAAGGAATTGAACTCAGGTGGTCAGGCCAAAGACTATAACTGGCTGCTCTCAAAGGCAGAAGAATCTCAACATCTAGATCCCTTTGGGGGGGGGGCAGGTTGATGAATAACCAACCCTTTCACAGGGGTCATCTTGGATCATCAGAAAATAGGTATTTATATTATGATTCATAGCAGTAGCAAAATTACAGTTATCAAGTAGCAACACAAATGATTTTATGGTTGGGTGTCACCACAACATGAGCTGTGTTAAATGGTCTCAGCATTAGGAAGGTTGAGAATCACTAACCTAGAGGCATACCTAGGAACTACAATGCCTGCGGCCTGCATAGGATTGTGTCAGTAGAATGTACTCAGGCTGCTGTTCCCACCAATTACTACTAGTGCTCCACAGAGGGAAGCCAGTATTCCCAAGACCGGCACTGGGTCATCCTGCCTTGCTGAGCCTGCAGTCTGTAGTGAGAGGGCATCTGCATGATCTACAGGATCACTGGGTATGTTGTGAATCTTATAACTATGTAAAGGTGCAGCTGCATTTGTTTGTTTCACCTTGCCTGCCTCAGGCACCTGATTGGTCTAATAAAAAGCTGTATGGCCAATAGCTAGGCAGTACAGGGATGGGGAGGGGGCTGACAGAATAAGGAGGAGGAGGAATCTAGGCTCTTGAGGCAAAAACAAGGGAGAGAATGAGGAGACACCTGCCCCCCCCCCCAGCCAGCCAGACATGGAGAAAGCAAGAAAGTAGGAATTACGAATGAAAGATAAAAGGCTCCAAGGTAAAATGTAGATGAGAAACAGGTTAAAGAAAGTTATAAGAGCTAGTGGGACAACCCTAAACTAAGACCCAACATTTTTTTATAACATAAATGATAATTTACCGAATATCAGTAGTAAAAAAGACTTGTATTTTATTTAAATTTGAAACAAGCTTGTTTCACATGTCAATCCTAGTTCCCTCTCCCTCCCCTCCTCCCCTGCCCCCCTCCATCCTAACTCCTTTCTGCTCCCCAGGGAGGGTGAGGCCTTCCATGGGGAATCTTCAAAGTCTGTCATATCATTTGGAGCAGGGTCTAGGCCCTCCCCCATGTGTCTAGGCTGAGAAAGTATCCCTCTATGTGGAGCTCCCAAAGTCCTTTTGTACACTAGGGATAAATACTGATCCACTACCAGAGGCCACGTAGACTGCCCAGGCCTCCTAACTGACTCGTTGAAGGGGTCTGGGTTGGTCCTATGCTGGTTTCCCAGCTATCAGACTGGGGTCCATGTCTTCCCCCTAGTTCAGGTCAGCTGATTCTGTGGGTTTCTCCAGCCTGGTCTTGACCCCTTTGCTCATCACTCCTCCCTCTCTGCAACTGGATTTCAGGAGTTCAGCTCAGTGTTTAGCTGTGGGTGTCCACTTCTGCTTCCATCAGCTACTGGATGAAAGCTCTAGGATGGTGTATAAGGTAGTCATCAATCTCATTATGGGTCAAGGGCATTTAAGGTAGCCTCTCCACTATTGCTTAGGCTGTTAGTTGGGATCATCCCAACTCTGGACATTTCCCTAGTGCCAAATTACTCTTTAAATCTATAATGGCTCCCTCTATTATTGTATGTTTTTTCTTGCTCTCTTCTGTTCTGCCCCAAACTCAATCTTCCTGCTCCTCATGTCCTCCTCTCTCCTCCTATTCTCCCTTTCTCTTCCTCCTAACTCCCTCTCCCCTTCCCCCATGCTCCCAATTTGCTCAGGAGGTCTTGTCCCTTTCCCCTTCTCTGGGGGAACATGTATGTCTTAGGGTCCTCCTTGTTTCCCAGCTTCTCTGGTAGTGTGGATTGTAGGCTGGTGATCCTTTGCTATGCCTAAAATCCATATGAGTGAGTACATACAATGTTTGTCTTTTTGTGACTGGGATACCTCACTCAGGATGGTTTCCTTTAGTTCTGTCCATTTGTCTTCAGATTTCAAGATTCCATTTTTTTTTTTCTGCTGAGTAGTACTCCATTGGTAAATTTACCACATTTTCTTTATCCATTCTTCAGTTGAGGAACATCTAGGTTCCTTCCAGGTTCTAGCTATTACAAATAATGCTGCTATGAATATAGTTGAACAGATGTCCTTGTTGTATAAACATGCATCTTTTGGGTATATGCCTAAGAGTGGAATTACTGGATCTTGAGGTAGACTGATTCCCATTTTCCTGATTTCCAAAGTGGCTGTATGAGTTTGCACTGACATCAGCAGTGGAGGAGTGTTCTCCCTTTCTCCACATCCTTTCTAGCATAAACTGTCTTTAGTGTTTTTTTTTTTTATTTTAGCCATTATGACAGGAGTAAGATGGTATTTCATAGTTGTTTTGATTTGCATTTCCCTGATGACTAAGAATGTTGAGCAATTTAAGTGTCTTTCAGCCATTTTAGATTTCCTCTATTGAGAATTCTCTATTTAGTTCTGTGCCCTCTTTTTAATTGGATTATTTGGTGTTTTGGTAACTAGCTTCTTGAGTTCTTTGTATATTTTGGAAATCAGCCCTCTGTCAGATGTGGGGTTGGTGAAGATCTTTTCCCATTCTGTGGGCTGCCGTTTTGTCTTGTTGACTGTGTATTTTGCCTTACAGAAGATTCTCTGTTTCAGGAGGTCCCATTTATTAATTGTCAATCTCAGTGTCTGTGCTACTGGTGTTATGTTCAGGAAGTAGTCTCCTATACCAATTTGTTCAAGGGTATTTTCTACTTTCTCTTCTAAGAGGTTCAGTATGGCTGGATTTATGTTGAGATCTTTGTGTTTTGTGTAGCAGATTGATATGGATCTATCTGCAGTCTTCTACATGTCTGCATCAAGTTATGCTAGCACCATTTGTTGAAGATGCTTTCTTTTTTCCATTGTATAGTTTTAGCTGCTTTGTCAAAAATCAGGTATTTGTAGGTGTGTGGGTTTATATCAGGGTTTTCCATTGGTCTACCTGTCAATTTTTGCATCAATACTAAGCTTTTTTCAGGACTATAGCTCTATAGTAGAGCTAAAAGTCAGGGATGGTAATGCCTCTGGAAGTTCATTTATTGTACAGGGTTGTTTTGGCTATCCTGGGTCTTTTGTTTTTCCACATAAAGTTGAGTATTGTCTGTTTTCAAGGTCCGTGAAGAATTGTGCTTGGATTTTAATTGAATCTGTAGATTGCTTTTGGTAAGATTGCCATTTTTACTATGTTGATCCTACCTATTCAAGAGTATGGATCTTTCAATTTGGTTTTTTTTTTTTTTTGTTTTTTGTTTTGTTTTGTTTTGTTTTTTTGTAACTTCTTTAATTTTTTTCTTTAGCAACTCAACGTTCTTATTATAGAGGTCTTTCACTTGTTTGGTTAGCCTTAGCTCAAGATATTTTATGTTGTGTGTGGCTATTGTAAAGGGTGATGTTTTTCTGATTTTTTTCTCAGCCCATTTATTTTCTGTATATAGTAGGGCTACTGATATTTTTTGAGTTAATTTTGTATCCTGCCTCTTTGCTGAAGGTGTTTATCAGTTGTAGGAGTTCCCTGGTAGAGTCACTTATGTAAACTATCATATCATCTGCAAATAGTGAAAGTTTGACTTCTTCTTTTCCAATTTTTATCTCCTTGATCTCCTTTTGTTCTTATTGCTCTGGCTAGAACTTCAAGTATAACATTGAAGAGATATGGAGAGAGTGGACAACCTTGTCTTATTCCTCTAATGAGGAATCATGTTGAGTTTCTATCCATTTAGTTTGATGTTGGCTGTTGGTTTGCTGTATATTACTTTTACTATGATCCTGTTATCCCTGATCTCTCCAAGACTTTTCATGAAGGGGTGTTGGATTTTGTCAAAGGCTTTTTCAGCATCTGGTGAAATGATTATGTGGCTTTTCTTTTTCAGTTTATTACATTGGTGGATTACATTGATGGATATTTTTATGTTGAGCCATCCCTGCATCCCTGGGATGAAGCCTACTTGGTCATGGTGGATGATTTTTTCTGATGTGTTTTTGAACTCGATTTGCCAATATTTTGAGTATTTTTGCATCAATGTTCATGAGGGAGATTGGCCTGTAGTTCTTTTTCTTAATTGTGTCTTTGTGTGGCTTGGGTACCAAGGTAATTGTAGCTTCATAAAAAGAGTTTGTCAATGAACCTTCTGCTTCTATTGTGTGGAACACTTTGAGGAGTATTAGACTGAGCATTCTTAATTGAAAATAAGTCTGCATGTCATGATTTGGGGGCTGGTGGTCCAAGAAAGTCTGCTATATGGGTCAGTTCTTATATAACATGAATAAAATCTGACTATTGTAGGGGGTTACTGATGTCACCTTTTCTAGTCCAAACCTAAAACTTCCCTCTACAACAGCATCATTTCATAAACACTTCATGCTAAAATGAAGGCAAATTTAAAGCCTCAGTACATCAGCGACAAATTCTCATGACTTGAGCTGGGAGTGTCTTCCTGATATAATCTCCAGGGTGTCACAGCCATGTAGGCAAAGTGAAGCCACTCTTCAGTGTTTGATCTCTGAAGATTGCACAGTTCAGTACAGTGGAGAATGTGTGGAGTTTATAGTTATCCCTCTGTCCAAATCCTAGCTCTGATCATCAGAGGCTGCAGAGCATGTGGAGTGTGGATGGCACTAATGAAGACCCTGTGGCTTTGCTGTATTTTATCCACCCAAAAGACATGGCTGCCATGTTGGACAGCAAAGGTCTAGACACTATTCTTGTCTACACTTCATAGTCAACTTTAGTTTTTGTAGCACTGATCTTATTGTCTATTTACATCATTCTGCAAATTGTAAAGCCTTTCCTATTTGTACTTAATCAGACATTGGCACTCTTTTTTTTCCTTTTTAATTTATAAAAATTTATTATTTTATGTGCATTGGTGTTTTGTCATGGGTATCAGGTCCCCTGGAACTGGAGTTAACAGTTGGGAGCTGCCAGGTAGGTGCAGGGAATTGAACCCAGGTCCTTTGGCAGAGCAGTCAGTGCTCTTAATGGCTGAGCTCTCTCTCTAGCCCAGACACAGACATTTCTAAACCTGCCTTCCTCCTCTATGAAATGGGCTGTTAGTAATTCTAGCTTACATCCATCCCTAGTTACATCATCTGTATCTATTGCTTAACTTAAAAAAAAGGCTTATGCAATTATGTTTATTTGTGTACATGTGCAATAGTGTACTTGTAGAGGTCAGAGGACAACTTGTAGGAGTCAGTTCTAACATGTGGGTCTCAGGGATTGAACTCAGGCCACCAGGCTTCGTGGCAAGTGTCTTTACCTGCTAAGTCATATGACTGGATGGATCCCTGATACTTAACATTTCAAGCAAAAATAAGCAATCTTCAATATTTGTTTTTAAGTCCATACTGTTAGTTATTAGCATGGAACAATACTACATTTGTGTGGTGATATCTTGTTTGTACTCTTGCCTGAAGCTTGCCTGAAGATCAGAGGGTAGAGCTAGCCACTAGTTAACCATAGAGGTCTGGAGGTCTATACAGACAAACAGGAAGTGATATGGCTGGGCGGAGAGAGGAATATAAGGTGGGAGGAGCCAGGAGCTGTCTCTTTCAGTCGGAGGATTTCATAGAGGTACAAGCTCTAGTAGCTGGCTGCTCTGCTTCTCTGATCTTTCAGCTTTCACTCCCTACTATCTGTCTTTGGGTTTTTACTATCAAGACCCATTAGAACTCATGCTACACATTTGAACTATAGTTAAGACTTAATTTTTCAGCACTGTGGCATCAGGAACACATCACCATAATCATACTTTTTCTCAGCCTCACAGGCAGTGTGAGGAGGGGGGTACTCACAGCTTTACTCTCATTTAGTAGAAATGGCCTAACTATCTAGGAAAGAAACTCAAAAAGAACTGTAGAGTCAGGATGTTTAGGTATGAGGCTCATGCCAGGTAAGTTTTTATTATATTTAAAAAAAAAAAAAAAAAGAAAAAAAAAAAAAACAGTGGAACTGGAAAGAGAGTCAGTCGTTCAAAGTGAACGGGAGTTGAAAGGCCTACCATTCCTCAGTGGCAGGGTTTGGGTCCCCTGCCCAAGCCAGGTTTAACCCAGCCAAGATGCTGGAAAGCGGAGCACACAGTTGTGCCCATCAAAGCAAGGAGGGCAATAGACCCCACGGATCCTCGAGACCGCTTGGTAGGGTCTGAAAAACAAGAGCGCAGAAGTTACCAAAATATCCACAAGCTGTTCTGTTCTATCATCTGAGGTCATACATTCAACCACCTGTTCTTGGGAGGTTGACCAACTCTAGCCTAGGGCCATCAGTATGCTAGAAGCTATGTGCAAAGTAATTTTACAATGGCATTGCCTAGACCTTGAAGAACTCTGTAAGTAAAGTTTTGTCTTAGGACCATGAGGAGTGTTTCCTTCCAGAACAAAGCCTTTTCCAGACTACCCACTTAATACAGTGGTGGTCAGGTTTTGCCTGGGGGTTATGGTTAGCAACTCTATCTCAATGCCTACTTGCTCATCTATAAGACAGGCTGGTGGCTGTACACAGATGACTGCAAGGTTGCATAGCATATATAAAGCTCACAGACAAGCAACTGGCACACAGAAAATGCTCAGGGGTTTGTTATTATCCTTAGGGCAGTAAGAACAAAGAGAACAGACCTTTCATTTCAGTTATTAAGCCATTTCCTCATTAACATTTTATCATATTTTATATACACGGGTATTTTTTCTGCATGTGTGTCTGTACCACTTGCATGGATCCCCTGGAACTGATGTTGCAGACTGTTGTTAGCTGCCATGCAGGTGCTGGGAATCAAACCTGGGTCCTACAGACGAGCAGTTAGTCCTCTTTACAGTTGAGTCATCTCTCTAGCTTTATCCCATCCCTTTCAAGGCTCTGCTGAGAGTAACAGTAACTTAAAATTTAAAGTTTGTTTGGGGGCTGGAAAGATGGTGGGGGTAAAGATGGTGAGGGTTAGGAGCATTTGCTGCTCTTGCCAAGGTCCAGGGCTTAGTCATCATGTCAGATGGCTCACAACCACCTGCAACTCCAGCTCAGGGGGGTCTAACATGCTCTCTGCCCTCTGTGGGCACATGCACATAGATACATAATACATGTTTAAAAAGATAAATATAAAATGTACTTCCTTGGTAGATGTCAACATGTACTCACCTCCTGTATAGTAGCCATATGCATAGAGAACTCGCCCGACAATCCAGGCCAGGCCCAGGCCAGAAGCTATGCGCTAAGATAAAAGGACAATTCAGTGTTTGCACTGAGGAAACAGACCTCTTGATTAATGCCTGGAGCTGACTACGGTTCTGTTGGCTAGCAGTAATTTCATGCATTTGGGAATATGTTTCCCACTAAGAAAAGAATGGTGTTACTTGTTTTGGTCAGGAAAAGTCTATAATTGCATGCTCAACTGGGAGGTGAGAACTGGCTTCCCTGATGGGCGGACTGTTTCTTGCTCTGGGCAACCAGGGGTACTGGTGTTGGAGCTCAGGTCAAGGACAGAAGACCTCAAGTCTCCAGGGTGAGTCATAAGAAGAAACCCTGATGTCCAAAATGAGATGCTGGGTCCCATACTGCCTCGACAGCTGCTGGGCTGCACTGTCTCCAGTGACAACACCTGCTGGAAGCGGCTGGACACAATAGAGGTGGGGGCTCGATGAGAAAAGGTGAGGAGAATGTATAGTGAACCCCGCGTATGTGCACTCTGCGAAGAAAAAGCCTCCTCATTCCCAACACCCTTGACAAGAGAGCAAAACCTATGTAAGAAGGAAACTCTATCCTTTGTTTTATGCTGAGAAACCCATCGCCAGAAAGAGGAAGAGGGAAAAAGAGGTTGGGGTAGGGTGAGCAGGTGACCTTCCAGAGTTCCTTTCCACTTTGGTAGTGCTGTCAGAGGTGTTGGTTGATGGCAGGCTTTGATTGGTTTGAGTTGCTTCCGGATAAGAAGTATGGGCAGGAGGGATGAAGAACTATAGACAAAGCTCCAGTTATCCACTGTGTAGGCTTGGTCTCTGACAGGCTCTCCTTCACTACAGTGCCGAGCAATTACTAGCAATTTTGGAACAATGGTTTGGTGCAGTCGTGACCTCAGGTATGAGTAATTGTCTCTTGGAGCTGTCACAACTCCATGGCCTTCTCAGTGCTGGATGTCCCAGACAACAGCAGGCCTCCTTCCTCACCTCTTGTGAGTTTTGTTTAACTAACACCTTCCCAGTAAGAGCCCTGACCACAGTATTCAAAACCCGTTCTCACCTCCCTTTGTTTGCTTCTGAGCCCTCAGCACCTTCTAACATACCAAATCATACAAAATAATTTACTTGTGATGTTCTCTATGACCCCAATTAAAGGGAGGATCTATGAATTCACTGCTGTAACCTTGGGTGTGGGCAGGTGTTTGTTTTTACACAGATGAACGAATGAGGAGAGTAAAAACACTCCCTGTGGAATGGACCTTTTAGAATTAAATAGACCTAGGGTCAAAGTTCCATTCTTCTGTTGCTTAACTTAACTGATCCCATGAAAGTTAAACAGTGTCTAAGAGGCTTTCCCCCACTCCGCAAAGATTAACTGGAATGCTGCCTACTTTCACACATTTTGTAACAAATCATTAAATACTCATCAATGTTCATTTCCTTGTCCCTGCCATTGCTCAGTGCTCTGCATCTAAATGGATGAAGGGCCCCAGGAGAAACTTACCGGGTGGTAAACACCTCCTACAGTTAGGAAAAATAGGAAGGGAGGATACACTTCCAACCTGGAATAGAGAGAAAGTAACTTTAAAAAGCATCCACTTGATGGATGTATACACAGAACTAAGGGACTTTGTATTCATGCTGGCAGGTTGGAAGCTTCAGAGTACAAACACACTGATTGGAGGAGAAGACTGGCTGCCAGTACCTGCCCTCTTTTGCTCTGGATAGGAGTGAGTCAAAGAACTTCACATGCTACAAACTCACGAGGTAGGTCTTGGATTGGCATAGGTCTTCTATGGAAGCACACTCTGAAATGTCCTACAAGCTCATGTGTTTCAACACCTCATCCTATGTGGTGGCATCACTTTTGGAGGCTGTGGGCTTTGGGGGTTATAACCCAGCAGAGGACTCTGTCCTGTCTGCCTTTGTGACCAGCTGTAAGTCTCCTCCATCACCAATGTTAGTCTTAGGACAGTCTTGAAATTATACCTTCCATCATGGACCATGGTTTTCTTTTTTAAATTATGAACCAAGATAAAGCCTTCCTCCACTCAGTTCTCTGTTTTGTGTGTGTGTGTGTGTGTGCTCACAGTGAAAAGTAACGACTATAATCAGTTAAATGGGACCTGTAAACACTGCAGAGGGTCACATTAAAGACATCATGATGTCTGCTGTTAACTGTCAACAGAATCTAGAGTCACCTGGGAGATAGGCATGCCCATGGAAGATTACTGTGTTAATTGAGGTGGGTGGGCAGCACCATTTCCTGGCTGGGACCTGAAGCAGAGAAAGGAGGTGAGCAACAGCAGGGCCTTCATCACTCTCTGCTTGTTTTTATTTTTCCCAAGACAGGGTCTCTCTGTGTAGCCCTGGCTGATCTGGAACTCACTCTGTGGACCAGGCTGGCCTCAAACTCAAGAGATCTGCCTGACTCTGCACTCCAAATGCTGGTGTTAAAGGCTCAGAAGTTTTTCCATTCTAAAAATTCTTAGTTTTTTTCAGTATTCAATCTGTTCACACAGCAATTTTAAAAAGTGTTTTATTTATTATTTGTATGTATGTGTGTGTGTGTGCGCGCGCGCGCACATGCGCGCGCGCATGCACGTCAATGCAGTGGATTACATATGTAAGTTAGATTTGGTTCTCTCCTTCCCCCATGTGGGGACACCCTGGTGATCAAATTTAGATGATCAGGTTGGCAAAAAGTGCCTTAACTATCTGACCTCTGCCCCACTCCCCACAACTAATGTTTTAATCATACTTTTAACAAGGTACTCAATGATTGCCATGCGATCGATCCCTCAGCAAATTCAGAGACTCAGGACTGAAGCGATGGGCATCTTTGCTGCCTGGCAGTATAACACTCACGTGTTTTGGTGGGCTCGCTGGATGCAGTTGAAGATGTGCCCATTCTCAGGGTCTGTGCTGTACATGACCGGGTACTGTTAAAGCAAAGGCCAAGCAGAGTGTGAATGTTGACAGTTACCTAGCACTGAAGCTGAGACATTCCAGAGTGTCTTTTACTGTGCTCCTGATGGATGAACACTTGACATCTGCTTTGTCTCTTTGTAGTGACCAGGCTTTCAGTTCTCAGAAGCAGGTTTGGTGTTTTTAGTTGCCAGAGCTAGTAAGAACCTGTGACTGTGTTGTGGTTTCGAAAGGGACGGGAATGGCTTCTGCCTGGCCAGTGTTAATCATTGATGCCATAAAGCAATGGTGGACTGCACATGCAATACAGAGACACCATAGAGAAATGGCTGGTTCCCAAGAGTCATCACACACCACATCCCTTTAAGATTTCCCTTAATAGGGAACAGAAAGTTGAGTATGTGAGGCTGCTATTGCATGTGTCCATTAGAATAAGAAGAGAAGCAGCCAGATATGAACGCTTGGAAAGGACCTCCACAAGGGAGTCTAATTACAAGACGCTAAATGCAAACAGACATCTGATTGCTCACCAGGGATAGCTTTAGAACTTTCCCTTTTAGTTCAGCCAGAACCAAAGGAAGTATTTAACAGACTTCCTTTCTACAACTGCCAGCTAAATCCAGGTTAAGCCCAGCATCTCTTCTCTACTTGGGAAACAGGAAAATCAGCTTAGGACATCACTTGTTAAGTGGCAAAGTAGGAAGCAATACTGCTACGTCATCCTTTTCCAGAAAATAACACTGTCCCTAGCAAATAACTCTTGGTAAATAGGGGCTTTTAATCCCACTAGGCCCGGTCTCTCTATAGAGGGGCCAAAGTCCAACAACATGTAAACTGTATCCCAGCAGTCCTAGAGTTTCCTGCTTCTCATGAATAGAATTATGATGGACACTGTCTAGAAACTGCTACTACCCTGTCACTAACAACTCTGCTCTCCCTCCATGACTGAAAACTCACCTTTGGAGAAGCCCATGGCCTCAGGAAGCCCACACAAGCACTGGGCTGGGACCCCCGCTTACCTCCACCTTGTACTTCTTGCGGGCTTTGCTCACGTTGATGGCTAGGTGGAGAACCATGACAAAGCTGGCAGCACCAGTGAGGAGCACAAATCCATATTCCTTAGAGAGGACAGTCATCTTGGCTCTGCGAAGAAAGGACGCACAGTGGGAACCTAACCCAACACCACGGGCATCGTGTGGTACAAGGCCTTAGAGAGCACGGTGCCTCATTTCCAATAGATGCACACAGATCAAAAAGAGATTTCAGGGCTGGGAACACATACAAATGCACACACATGTATATATCACACATACATCACAAATGTATACATAACACATACCTAGGACACACACACACACACACACACACACACACACACACACACACACTCTGCCTAATTAAAAAAAAGACGTCTTCATACAAGTCCTTCCTTTCTCCCCTCTTTCACCTTTCCCCTTTCTCCATCTCCTTTCATTTTGCTCCATTTTTATTTGTTTTTGTGTGCAATGTGTGTACAGTGTGCACATGCAGATTAGAAGACTGCTTGCAGGAGTCTGTTCTCTCTTACCACCATGTGGGCCCTGGGGTCCAACCGCAGTCATCAGCTTTGGCAGCTGGCACTTTTACCTACTGAGCCATCTCCTGTGCTCCTTAATTTCAGTTTTTGAGACTGTGTAGCTCATGTTGGCCTGGTACTCAAGATATAACCCACAGTGGCCTCAAGCTCAAAGCAATCCTCCTGCTTCGGCCTCCCAAGTATTGAGATTATAGGTGTGTGCTATTATAACTAGCTATATATTCTATTGGATTCAACAGCTGTTTACAAATTTTACTTGTAGCATTGCAGTAGTCATTGTAGTGTGTCACTAAAATTTGCATTTAAGAGTATTTAACACGATACCCTTTAACAAAGTGGTATCTACAACAGTGGTTTCTGAGAGGGCTACTGTGAGGTTAGGTCCTTGTGACTGCTAGATCTTTCACCTTGATCCTGGCCACATGCTGGCACACTTTTAGAAGCCAGAATGGAGAAACCCTGCTTGGTGTTCTGGCATCAGAGTATGGCTCCTGAGCCGATGGCATGGACAAGACACAGTCTGGCAGGCTCCTGAGAACCCAGGCATGCCCATCAAATCACCACTTCAATCAAGCTTCGTGATATCTGAAACTTACTTTGAAATGCATAAGAGGCTGGCAAGACAAATGTTATCTATAGATGGGGTGGTAGCCATGTGGCTTCAAGATACAATTCTTTGAATTTTTCTGACCACGCAGGAGCTATTACTATAAACCGCTTTGAGAAAAAGCTAATCCTGGCTCTTCTTGCAGTGTTCAGCATTAAAACTCTTGTCTCAAAGGACAGACTTAGCCTTCGCATCAGAGAGAATGAAGTTTAGCAGGTGGAAGATAGTGTAAGCACCTCATGGCCCACTGGGCTGCCCATTAACCTCTGTTAGCTTTGAACATTAGATGGAAGGGGTCAGAGCACGCAGGCAGAATGGGCAAACCCAACATGTTAGAATATGCTAAAGTAACTCATCACATGCAAGGCTGCCCAAGCCAGGAGCACCTGTGTGATATCTTCAGTTTAAAAATGACCCTCCCACTGGGTTGTGGTGGCACATGCGTAATCCCAGCACTCGGGAGGCAAAGGCTGGTGGATATCTATGAGTTCAAGGCTAGCCTGGCCTACAAAGCAACTTCTAGGACAACCAGGGCTGTTATACAAAGAAATGCTGTTTTGAGAAGAAAAAAAAAAAAAAATGCCCATCTCTTTCTGGTTGTGAAAGCACACAGCAGTAGGCAAATGCTTAAAAGGATGAGGCAGGAGAATAGTAGGTTCAAGACCAACTTGTGCAATACCTTTAAGGGCAGTAAGGGCAGAGGAGCCGGTTTAGTTGGTAAAGATGCTTGCTGAGCAATGAAGGGGAACTGAGTTCAATTCCTAGAACCTACTGTTGTGGAGACATGGAGATTCCCAGAGCTTGTCAGACAGCCAGTGTAGCCTGATTGGTGAGCCCGGGGTGTCAGTAAGAGACCCTGTCTCAAAAATCAAGATGGCTTCCTCCTGAGGAACAACAACCACTCAAGTTGTCGTATGAGTTCCACATGCACGTGTATGCAGACACACCCCCTTACACATGTACACCCCCCACCAAAATAAATAAAACCTATCTCTGATGAATGTTTCCTCTCCCCAGCATCCAGCTCAGGGTGTTGCCCTGCTGCAGAATGTTTCTAGTCACCTTTAAAAAGTACATGATTCTGGTACCCCTAGCATCAGAGGAACACCCAGAGCATATGTGCTTTACCCAGAGTCTAAAGCATGAAGTATTATGGGTGGGATTCAACTCAGAGTCACTGGGCTCCAATGGCATCTTTAGGGCCTGCTTGCAAATTGAGAGCAGCACAAACAGTGGAGCCACAATGTCTTTTTCAACATGAAACTTTGGCGGTGAGCAAGTTGTTTGGGTCTTTAAAAAGTACGTTTCTCAAGACTAGAGAGATGGCTCAGCAGTTGAGAGCATTAGATGCTAGTCCACGTTTGATTCCCAGTCCCCACAGGGTAGCTCATAACCATAGGTAACTCCTCTCGAGGATCCAATGGCTACTTCTGTCTAGCATCCAAGGGCACCACTTTCACGCACCTCACAGGCACACATGCAGGCAAAACGCCCATGCTCATAAAGATAAATTTAAGGTTCTCCTAGCTTAGAAAGATAACATTTGAGTTTCAAGCACCCCAGACCAGGCTGTTCCCCTGTCACAGCACACAGCAATTTTCACCAGCATTCCCTCCTATGATCTTTACCCTGTCCTGCCCATTTGCCCTTCATAGGGGCCAGACTGCTTCTATGACTCAGTATAAGGTGCCTCAGGGTGAGCAGCCCCACCTACCCAGCTTCAGAGAATAAGGGGGCCTGGATGCTCTCCAAGCTTCTTCCTTCCTTCTCAAGTTTATAAAGTTAACACAAGTTAGAAGCTACGGCAGTAATTATATAGCAAAAATACGGTGTGAATTCTGAACAACTTGAAAATAAAAGCGACTGAGTCTACTTGCCGTCCTTGGAGTTAAACTGCTGGGGTCAAACAGCCACTGACAATGAAGCTGCCTATAAGTGTTTCAGAGTTGTCTTTGTAAGGACCGTGAAAGCAAGCATGGCCACTCTAGCTCAGTTTGCAAGTCCAGCGGCTCAAGCGTACAAGGGCAGATCTAGGAGGAGGTCAGGTTTTAGATTTCATGAAAACACTCTAGCTGGGCAAGATGTCAGAATGGGCTTAAGTCGTTGACCCCTGTTGGCCTGATGTCTAAGAGCAGCCAGGTGGCAAGACAGAGAGGTGCTTTTTGGGTAGATGTCTACTGCAGGGAAGGACCATTCCCTGCACAACTGTTCTGTAATCTATAACTAGAAACTGACGTCACAGCCAGGCTCCTCTTTCAGGGCAGAGATGCAGTTTGCTGGAGTTCACACCTGGTGAGAGTCTCACTCTCCATTTCATGAACCCAGTATGAACCAAGCAAGAGCCAGGGGTCAAGAGGTGCTCATGACTCCTAGGACACAGGGCTTGGATGATTCAAGGCTGGATCTGACCTCAAAGCCTCTTTCCTGCACTCTAGCTTTCACGGTTCCAGAAAACACTATTTAAGCTGCCAAGGTCAGGAAGTAATTAAACAGTTCCACCCTACCTATGAACCACAATAATCAGCATGGTGAGATATGCATAAAGGTGCAGTCAGTGTCACTTGCAGCTTGGTGACAATCAACAGCTATCAAATTGGACTTAAGGCCCATTCAACAGGAGGAAATTATGCCTGGTACTAACCTAGCCAACTACCAGGGCTAAAGAGATCGATGACCTTGGAAAATAATCCACTCCTGCCACTCTGCTAGACCAACATTCTAAATTTTATACTCTCATGCCCACAGAGAAGTGTGGCTACCGCCCCTCATCAAAGGAGCCTCTCTTTACAGAATATGGAGACCCCCACAGAAAATCACAGCTGGACATGATGCGGAGACTGTGGAGAGTCCAGCACCAACTGACATTTATATTGCAGCTCCTGCATCTATGGCTCTGGGAACATCATGGAAAAGGGGTGGTGGTGGTGGAAGATTGTAAGAGCCAGAATATCAGGAACTCTGCTATGAAAAAGTCTCTCCTAGAAATGGCTACAATGACAATATCAACGAGTATGTTTTCGTGGAAGGGAGAAACTTTCACAAGGTCCCATCTGTAGGCAAAGAACTTCAGGCCACTAATGATGTTCGGAGATAGAGAATTAGCCTCTCCTTGGGATGAACCCCTTACTGGGGGTTGAATGCAAAGTGGTCAGCCCTAAAACCATATGCACACAACAAAAATGGATTCAGCAGGTTACATACATACATACATATATATATATATATATATATATATATATATATATAATGTATACATATATATTTGTGTATATGCATACATTCACACACATGTATATTACAATAATAAAGCCAAAGAGACTACCAACTTCAGGGAGAGTAGCTAGGAGGGGCTAGAGGGAGGAAGGACAAGAAATGATGTAATTGTGTTTCAATTAAAAACATACTAAAGAGAGAGAGAAAAAAGGAAAGATGCTGGTGAAATGGCTCAGGGAAAAGGCAGAGAGTTCACATGAAGGTTGGGGAGGAGGTGTCTGATATTAGAGTGGGTGGTTTGCAGAGACCAAGTGGTCTACAATGGTGTGATTCTGCAGGGGCTTTGGACCCTTGAGGACAGATGCAGGAACAAAGCTTGAATGCTGCCTTCCAGGACGGTGGAAAACCCCTTCAACACTTCCATGCACTCCTGCGAAGCGTGGAGTCCTACTGCCCGATTTGTACTCAGAGAGTACAATGAGAACAGCCCCGGGGTCTGTGTGAGGGACCATATGGTTTGGCATTCCTCATGGCAAGGACTGCTCATGGTGTGTACAGGTGCTTGCAGAGCAAATGGCAAGAGAAGTGATTTAAGGTGGCTCTCAGGAAAGCCACCCCACCCCCAATACAAAGAGACATCATCTTAGACAGTACCCAGGAATAAAAGGATTCACCTAAACTATTTGCTTCTGCTTTTCTTCCTTCCAAAGCATCTTCCTTCCAAACCATGGAAGAAACTGGATTATG